CGGCCATCCTGATGGTGGCAAGAATTCGCCGGGCCCGGTTGCAGTAGTCAGTCGCCGTCTCCTTGTCGCCCATACGCAGGTGCGTCAGCCGCCCCTCCAGCTGGGCGATGAACAAGTCGTCGGTGACTAGGTAGGTTGACTCGATGAAGTGCCACGCCTGGTGGCCGGCGTCGAGGTACTCTCGGCACCACTTCAAGGCGATCTGCACGCCCAGTGAGTAGCATCGCGAGATGACCGTGAAGGTCAACAGCTGCACGGCGCAAAACTCTGCACGCAGGTCGGGGTGGTGCTCCCTCGACGTCGCCACGGTCCCTCGGGCGAAGCCGATCAGCCCAGCCATCTCCAGCTGAGGCTCGATGGCCTCCTTCCATGTGAGAATGTCTGGTCGACCAACGAGCGGCGGGGTGACCGAGATTCTGTCCGGCGTAAACTTGAAGCAGCCGTAGCTCGGTGCAATCCCGCCCGCTGTCACCTGGGTCGCCGACATCGGTGACAAACCGCTTCGTCGACCTCCGACGTCACCTTGCAAGGAGCCTGCAGGCGCCGACGACTGCCTTCCTTGCACTTGAAAGCCGCCGAATTCATCGGCGTGAATCACACCTCTCTGCCTCGACGTGCCTCCCGCACTACTGCTGACTTGGCCACCTCCGGCGTTGACGCCCACATCGACGCCGCCTTCGTTGGTCACCGTTCGAGGAGAAGCTGGTCGAGAAGGGGGATGCTGCATCGCCCACATGGAGCGGAGTCCAGCCTCGACGACCGCCCACAGTATCGCCCCATACTCCTGGGCCTCATGGTGTCTCCTTGCATCCTCCAGCCGTCCCTCCAGGGTGTCCATCACCTTGGTGTCACCTACGCGCACGCTAGGGACCTGTACGGCTGCCGACCTACGAGCAACGTAGGTTAGCGACCTCTACGTCGACCTTACTGAAAGGTAAGTCGTGTGCCGTCCACGCTCACCGCACCATGCGAAGATAACTACTACAACGGGAGCTAGACTACGCGCTAGGCACGGGTGCTCGTGTGATCTCTGCGTTCGTTGGTCCTTAGTCGTTTTCCTAGTGCACACACTACTTGCTAGTTCACAGGGAGAATCGGCAAGAGTTTCACTAGAAAGGTTGACAGCGATAATGGTACAATGAAGGTGGCATGGCTAGACTACATCACAGCTAGCATTCAGGTCGGTCGACTGCCAGCGCAGCATGGTCGACCGCGTTCCAGCACGACCTGGTCGACCGCGCTCCAGCAGTGCAAAGTCGACGGCGTGCCAACTTCGCAGGTTGACGGCGTGCCAGCGCTACTCACGCAGAACAGCAGCGCACCCGCTTCGCTGGTGCTCGCAGATGATTGGCGGGCTGAGCCTCGTCACCTGCACAACGCACACACCAAGTCATCCTCGTGCTGACGACTCCACCTGATCCGCCACGTCGACCTCGGGATACCACCCCCGAGGTCGGGCTCGCCAACTTCGCCTGGGCGACCGTCGCACTCCTCCGCAGAAGTTCGTCACCCAGGTAACCTGGTCGACTTGGCAACCACGTCGACCAGTTGCTCCCGTACGTGCCCGTCGACCTCCCAAGTTGACGACCACCTCCAAGTCGACCTCACCAGGTCAACCACGCACCTGGTCGACCAGCTCCAGGTCGACGTCACTTCCGGTCGGACAGCTCCACGTCGACCAGCATTCCTGGTCGACCAGCTTCATGTCGACCAGCGCAGTTGTCGGCCGACCACCCAAGTCGGCTACCCGAAATCGGCGTCACCAAGTTGACGCCCAGCTACTGGATGTCAGAATCCCAACCACTAGACCATTGGGACAAAATGGCTTGTTTTGTAGCGGGTCAGTGCGCCCATAACCCCCCCAGGCCAACATGCCTGTAACCCTTCCCTAGGATCAATCGGGGATTACCAGTGGACCTCTGACACCCCCCCGCACTGGGATGCCCGAAGTGCACACACTAGGATTCGAACCCGAGACCTTCGCTCTGATACCATGTCAGAATCCCAACCACTAGACCATTGGGATAAAAGGGCTTGTTTTGTAGCGGGTCAGTGCGCCCAAAACCCCCCAGGCCAACATGCCTGTAACCCTTCCCTAGGATCAATCGGGGATCACCAGTGGACCTCTGACACTCGACGCCCAACTGCTCGGCGTCCTGAGTCGAGGTCGACGTCGGCCCCTCCTTCGTCGACCACTAGGTCAGGTCGACCATTAGCTGGTCGACCAGCAGGCCTGGTAGACCAACCACTAGGTCGACCAGCAGTCCGTTAGCCGACCACCGAAGTCGGGTGCCCCAAGTTGACGACCACCGTCCTCCACAGGTCGACTTCCCACGTCGACCTCCCTGAAGTCGGCACCACCCTGAAGTCGGCGGCCGTGCAGTGGCTCCGTGCAGGTCGACCTTCTCGTCAACCAGCTCGCCCACTGCTGCAAGTCGGCTGCTCCCCTCACACCCGACCGCGAAGTCGGCTTCGCCCAAGCGAGGACGGGGCCAACACACAACTCCCGTCGACAGCAAGGAGTGGTGCGAAGCAAAGGATGTGGAAATCAGGGCACTCGAGTCATGCGACACCTGGGTGCTCGTCGACCGTGCAGCAGTGAAGGGAAGAAGGAGACTCTCCGGCAAGTGGGTCTTCCGCGTGAAGACCGGAGCTGACGGGATGATCGAACGATTCAAGGCACGCTGGGTGGTGCGAGGCTACGATCAGAGGCATGGCATTGACTTCGACCAGACATTCGCACCGGTCAGCCGTCACACGTACGTCAGAATTCTCCTCACCATCGCAGCTGCACGACACTTACCACTCCGACAGATTGATGTGAAGAACGCGTTTCTGTACGCGTTAGTAGATGCAGTGATCTACGTGTCAGAGGTCCACTGGTGATCCCCGATTGATTCTAGGGAAGGGTTACAGGCATGTTGGCCTGGGGGGTTATGGGTGCACTGACCCGCTACTTAACAAGCCATTTTATCCCAATGGTCTAGTGGTTGGGATTCTGACATGGTATCAGAGCGAAGGTCTCGGGTTCAAATCCCAGTGTGTGCACTTCGGGCATCCCAATGCGGGGGGGTGTCAGAGGTCCACTGGTGATCCCCGATTGATTCTAAGGAAGGGTTACAGGCATGTTGGCCTGGGGGGTTATGGGCGCACTGGCCCGCTACTTAACAAGCCTTTTTATCCCAATGGTCTAGTGGTTGGGATTCTGACACTACGTGGACCAGCCGCACACATACGGCGACGGGGACCCACGTGTCTGCCAGCTGCGCAAATCCCTTTACGGGATCAAACAAGCACCGAGACTCTGGCAGCAGTACCTACACAACATCCTGCTTGAAATTGGGTTCAAGCAGCTGCCTCACGATCCAAGGATGTATCGCCGCGACTTCCGCGGCGAATACATTCTGCTCACGGTTTACGTCGACGATCTGCTCTACACAGGGTCAAGCCCCGAGTTACTCAAGCAGTTCGAGAAAAACCTCTCTGGGCGCGTCGACATCACCTGCAACCACGACGTGAAGTAGTTCCTTGGCCTCAACATCACCTACTCGCCAGAAGCCATTCACCTTTCAGCAGCCAAGTATGCAGAGGAACTTGGCAAGCACTTCAGCATCACGCCTACGCCGCTCTCCACCCCTTACCGCACTCCATGACCCAACCATAAGCCTGACAACAAAGCCCTATCCCCAGCTGGGCTTAAGACTTACCAGCAGCAGTTGGGATGTCTGCTCTTTGCCGCAGTCACATGCAGGCCAGACCTATCCTACATCGCAAGTCAGCTCGCCCAATACTCACGCAAACCAACGGCTGAGAATCTCTCAGATCTTCAGCGAGCACTTCAATTCTTCATCTCCACGTCCAATGTTGGGCTCTGCTACTCCACCATTCCAACCGCATCCTTCAGTCTCATCGGCTACGTGGACGCTGATCACGCCGCTGATCTCGACAATCGACGGTCCAGGACAGGATTCCTCTTCCGCCTCGAGCTTAGCGGCCCCATCTCATGGAATTCTCAGAAGCAGGAGCTGGTTGCCCTGTCATCGACAGAAGCGGAATTCATCGCAGCAACAACAGCTGTTTGCGAAGGTCTCTATCTTCAGGAGCTGCTGCAAGAGGCGAAAATCCCGGACTTAACGATCTTTCGCCTGCACTATGACAACAAGAGCGCGATCAGGACCGCGAACAAACCTGGCTTCGTCAACCGCACCAAGCACTTAGCACTGCGGTACTTCTTCGTCAAGGACGAAGTTGACAAGGGCAAGGTTGACCTAGCCTACTGCCTGACGGGTGACATGGCAGCAGACTTCCTCACGAAGAAACTGCCGCGTCAGCAGTACCAGCACTGCTCCGAACTCAGCGGGGTAGGCAAGCGGGTCAAGACCTGCTACGGCCAGGAGGGAAGGGGGGTGTTACGAATAGTGATCAATGAAACATCACTGTGCACTATTCACCGCAGCAAGCGAAGCACGCAATACCGAGGTCGAAGACGAAAGGGCGGAAGTAATGCGAAGGGACGTACGGTTACGAGAAGCATCTGGACCGTCAGGCAGGCAGCAGCAGTGGCGATGATTTTGCCCGAACAGTTTCGTAACCACTCGGAGTTGCACGGTTGGATTTAGCTGTAATAAGGGAATGTACCCCTTAGAGTACATGGATAGCTAGGTCGTTTCGAACTCCCTTGTACTCTTATTTTTATTCCTTGTACTGCATGTTTTTAATCATCTCAAGCATTTACATTCACTCTGCTATTGAGGTCAAGGGCCCACCATCACTAGACTAGAAGTGTGCGAACCTTCCTGATGTGATCCTGAGAACGATCAATTTTTTATCGCAGCACACCAAGGAGTTCAAAAGAAACTCACCCAATATGTATCAATAGTAATCACCCAATTGATTGAAATTGCAATCTCATGCCTATCCAAAATCGTTACGGTAATCAGCAACATTTCAGCTTGACGAGACTCGCGAGGATGCTATCCGAGAGGAAAAGCGTCTCCTTTATGGGGTACATCGAGTGTTGATGCGATGTGTGCTCGCAACGAAGGCTTCTCATTGGTCTAGCAGAGGTAGGCGACTAGTGAAAAATCCTCGTGGCAGCCTTTTATTGGTCTCTTCGATCGCAGGCATCTCAATTCCACATGAAGGTCCCCCAACCCCGTCTCATGGGGCAACTACCCCATCCACTGCCCGTTGAGCAAGCACTGGCTGTTCACTGCGGGGTCTGGGATGACTGATTCTGGGCTTGCTTGGCTCAGGGCAGTGTAGGTGGAGGAAACCTGGAGCGTGCCCCAGCAAGCCAGAGTTGCTCCTCCCTCGAGTTTCTCCTGCTCCTGTCGGGTTGAGCCTCTCCCTCTCTCTCGTGCTTGTCTCGTGCACCTGCATCGAGGCAACCACGCAGGGATTGCTCTCACGCCTCTGGCTGCTCCACGCATCCCTAGCTCCTAATCACCTCGATCCTCAGGAGCCTGCGCCGCTCGCCATACCTCCATCCCGCTCCGCAATCCTAACCAACAGAGTCCGGTTCCGAACATGGCGAACGCTGTGAGCGCCATCTCCGCGGTGTCCGGCGCGGCGAGGTCGTTCGGCCGGCTGTCATCGACCACAGAGGCCGCCAGTCTGTGCCCCGCTCCCGCTCTTTCCGCCAGCCAAGCCATCATCGAGGAGAGCTCTGTGCTGGTCAGCGAAGGCGCGAGGCGTTTCGCGCACGGCCCGAGAGTCTCGTCACCCGACCGTTCGTCCTCGCATAGCCTTCGCTTCGACGACGATTGCACGCAGTCAGGGCTGAAGCAGGCCAACGGCTGGTCGCTCGAGAGGACAGCGTTCGAGACGAAAGCCGGTCCCAGCGCCTCTGCCTGCAGCAACGGGAGAGGCCTTCTTTCAAGCGGGAGTAGTATCCTGTGGCAAGAGCGACCGGACTCGCCGGAGGCAGCTGTATTCCGTCTCGCACCTGTCGGCCCGCCGTTTTCGTGTGGAGGTAGTTGGGAGCCAAATGGGAAAGCAGGGCACGTGGCGCCTTCGCGCAGAGCCCACTTACCGGTGAGAAAGCCTCAGAAGCCTTTAAGAGGCGTGCAAAGTCTTGCCCGCGGTTCCTCCGCCGGCACGCCGCCGATGCTTCCACTTGCGCTGCTGTCGCAGTCGAGCGAGGCCATGGCGTGGCAGCTGTACCTGCAGCACCTAGACGGGTCGCAAGTGCGGGAACCGCGGGACTTACCCGACTCACGAGACTCGAGAGATTCGCGGGATTCACGGGAGTCAAGGGGGTTAAGACGGTCAACCCCCGAGGGCGTGAGGGAGAGGGCAGTGTTTTTGGAGGAGCTGGGTGTGGATATGGTAGCAGCCATCGTGAAGTGCCCAGCGCTCATGGACACGACGCTGCCTGTCATGCGAGCAGCTCTCCACTTCCTGCGCGTGGACGTCGGCATCTGCACGCCGCGCGACATCGAACGCGTCGTGCATCGCTGCCCGCAAATTCTGACGCTGGATGTCGAGGAGCGGCTCCTCCCCGTGGTGTATCTACTGCGCCGCGACCTCGGCCTGGACAGAGCGCATGCTAAAAAGGTAATCTCTCGCTGCCCTGCGCTGCTGGTTCAGCCGATCGACACGGTGCTACTGCCGGCCGTCAATTTCCTGCGCGCCATGGGAGTCGAGAATCTCGCGAAGACGGTCGTTAACAATCCGTCGCTGCTGAGCGTGGACCCCCAGCAGAAGCTGCTGCCCAGACTGAGCTTCCTGCAGGAGCAAGGGCTCACGGCGGACGAGGCGAAGCGGGTGCTGGCTCGCTGTCCCGCCATATTCAACTACAGCATCCAGAGCAACCTGGCTCCCAAGCTGCAGTTCCTCACAGGGACCATGCGGCGCTCCGTAAAGGAGATCCTATCTTTTCCGCAGTTCTTCTCGTTCAGCCTCGATGGGCGCATCCAGCCTAGGTTTCGCATGGCAGCGGAGAGGGGGTTGTCTCTCAGCCTGGGCGCGCTGCTTGCCCTTCCTGAGGATGCTTTTCTCATCAACTGCGGGAAGCTGAGCGAGTCGTGCCAAGCTATGGAGCAGAGAGCCATGATTTCTTAAAGCTGAGACTTTGGCTGGGACCACAGCTTGAGTTGAGCCATGATGTGGTTTGCATGGTCTTCATCAGTGCAAATTCTCTGTACATGCGTTATGTATTCTGAATTGGGACCAATATTCAATGAAGTTCTTTCAGTACTCTACCTCGGTTATTGATTTTGTGTGACAATAGTCAGGGCCTGTGCTAGGATTTTGGGCACCCTGAGCCATCAGGGTAACTTTTGAAAAATCTCTGAAATGCCCTGATTCTTCAGGGCAAATTTTTCTGGCCATCCTGAAATTTCAGGGCACCAGCAGAAATTCATCTGGATGATTCAGGGAAAAAAATATGAAAGGAGGGGAAGGCACGAAAGGAGCAGGTTGTTCACTGGTTTCACTTCTACTGGCGGAGCAAAAACATTGGTGGGGGAGGGGTGAGGACAAAACTAGCACACACACCCTCCAGCCTCCTTCCTCCCCTCTCCTCTCCCTCTCCCCCCCCTCCACCCTTTCTCCCCTTCCAACGAGTCAGGGAATCCCTCTACATTCACCCTAACGCTTCAGGGCAAAAATTCACTGCCATTCTGAAATTTCAGGGAAAAACATAAGGATCATCCTGACGTCACAGGGTAAATTTCAGCATCATTCTGAAATTCCAGGGCAAACTTAAGACACCATCATGAAATCAGGGTAATCAGGATGTTTTGCCCTGATATCGTGGTCAAATGTTGTAGCCTGTAGTGAGGTTTGTCTTAGGGGGTACAGAAGTTAGGGTTTGTCATATGTACCCCAACCAACATCAATGCAACACTCATTCCTCATTCTGACATGGTATCAGCTAGGTTAGGATCCTGTGGGATCCCGTTCCTCCGTTCTCCGTTCGTACCTCCCGAGCCTGATCCTACCTCTCGTTCGTACCAGTTTCGTAGTTACCGCGCCTAGTACCGAGCCTAGCGTCATCTCCCCCGTCGCGTCACGCCTGTTCCCCCCCGTCGCGTCACGCCCGTTCCCCCCGTCGCGTCGCGCCCGTTCCCCCCGTCGCGTCGCGCCCGTTCCCCCCGTCGCGTCGCGCCCGTTCCCCCTGTCGCGTCGCGCCCGTTCCCCCCCGTCGCGTCGCGCCCGTTCCCCCCGTCGCGTCGCGCCCGCCTGTTACCCCCCCCGTCCCGTCGCCCTGTCCCGTCGCGTCGCCCTGTCCCGTCGCCCTGTCCCGTCGCGTCGCCCTGTCCCGTCGCGTCGCCCTGCCCTGTCCCGTCGCGTCGCCCTGCCCTGTCCCGTCGCCCTGTCCCGTCGCGTCGCCCTACCCCGTCGCGTCGCCCTGCCCTGTCCCGTCGCCCTGCTCCGTCGCGCCGCCCTGCCCCGTCGTGTCGCCCTGTCCCGTCGCGTCGCCCTGCCCCGTCGCGTCGCCCTGCCCTTTCCCCCGTCGCGTCGCCCTCCCTAGGCCCTGGCCTGTCGCCCTTCCTAGGCCCTGGCCCGTCGCCCTACCCTAGGCCCTGGCCCGTTGCCCTACCCTACGTCTTGGCCCGTCGTCCTAGCCCGCTCTTCCGCTGCGACTGAGTCCTCTTCCCCCCCCGGTTGTTACTCGCCTGTTCGTTCTCACTATGGCGACTCCGCGAGTTCTTCGTTTCGACGCCGACGGTAGACCCCTTGACTTTTCCGTCTGGCTTCTTCGCGCTCGTCGTCTGTTAGAGAGTCAGGTCCAGGGGGGCGAGACCCTCTGGTCACACGCTACTGGTGACCTCCCCGAGCCCCCCGAGCCTACAGCTTTAGGCCCTGCTCCTGACGACGCTGCTATGGCTCGCTTTGCCCGTCAGCGCGCTGACCGGACGGCTTGGACGTCGCGTGACGCTGCGGCCTGCATCGCACTCAGCAGCCTCCTCCCTGAGTCAGAGGAGGTCCACTTTACTCAGGTTCGCACCGCTGCTGCGTACCTCACTGCGATTAAGGCCCGCTACTCTACTCCCGCTACTGTCTCTCTCGGCCGTCTTTTCCCCCCGTTCCTGTTTCCTGATCTTGCCTCGTTTGAGCGCTCTGCTGACTTGATCGCTCACCTCCGCTCGCTCGACGCTAGTTACCGCGCTGCTTGCACTGAGGCACAGCTTGCACTGCTTCCTCCCCCCATGGCGATTACTGTCTATTTCATCGCCACTAGCCTCCCTAACCGCCTTGCCTCCGTTCGTGACGCGCTTCTGCTGAAGCACCCTAGTGAGCTGACTATCGAGGTCCTTGAGTCTGCACTCAAGGACGTCGAGAGCAACCTTCGTTCGGTAGCTGCCGCCTCTGGTACTGTGTCCCCCCCACTCTTCCACGGGTGCACAGTCCCGCAGTTACCCACCTTCACTGCCTCTCTTGCCACTGCCGCTACTGACGCGACTGCGGCTGCTGTTACGACTGCGTCGCGGTCCCGCGGCAGGGGGGGCAAGAAAGGTGGTTCCGGTGGAGGTGGAGGCGGAGGTAGCGGAGGTAGTGGGGGTGCTGTTGCGACTGGCGGTGGTGGGAGTGCAGCGTCTGGAGAGACCCCTCGTGCAGCGGCCGGTGACTCCACTGCACCTGCTGGTGGCGGCGACCCTCGAGCTCGTCAGTCGCCTCCTGTACTGCCGGCCCCGCTAGGTGGAGCAGCGGCGTGGTACCAGGCTCAGCGTCAGCAGCACCTTCAGCAGCAGCAGCAGCCCCTTTCCTCCCAGCAGCCTCAGCAGCAGCAGCGTCAGCAGCTGGCTCCGGGGTCGGGGCTGCGTCAGCCCCAGCGCGGTGCTGCTTACCCTCCCTGCCCCTACCAGGTTCAGACAGGTCCTCGTCGGGGCCACCCTTGTGGCCGCTTTCACCCCCCTGGTCAGTGCTTTGCTCAGCTCACTGACACGGTCCGGTTGACCTACGGGGTTGGCGGTCCTGCTCCTGACTGGCTTCCTCTGGTTCAGCGCTACGGCTCCGCTCTGTGGGGCATGTCTGCTGAGCAGTTAGTTGATCTGATTAGTGCTCCTCATGCTATGTATGCTGTTGTTGACTCTAGTGTTTCTGACTCTGTTTACTCTGGTGTTGTTAGCTTAGGTGCTAGTCTTGCTCAGTTGCCTGTTGCTAGTGTAGGTACTTGTGTAGACTCTAGACCAGCGACTACCTCAGAGGACGCTTCGCTGTCGTTCACACTGGACTCTGGAGCCTCCCACTGCTTCTTTCGGGACAGCACGACACTTACACCACTTCCTGCGCCTGTTTCTGTAGCGTTGGCTGATCCCACTACGGGACCAGTCACTGCACGTCACACTACCACTTTACCGTGTCCTGCTGCTCCCTCCGGGTCTCTCACTGGGTTTCACGTCCCCTCGTTCTCCCGGAACTTGGTGGGCGTGCGACCCCTCGTGAGCCAGCACGTGGGTGTGTGGTTTGAGCCTTCTGGAGAGACTGCGGTGTGTGTTGACGGAGACTCTTACCAGCCTCTTGCTACCTTTACTGCTGAGCCGGGCTCGGGTCTCTACACTCTTCACACTGGCCCGCGTGCGCCGCAGCAGCAGCCGCAGCAGCAGCAGCAGCCGCAGCCGCAGCAGCAGCAGCAGCAGCAGCAGCAGCACCAGCGGCCGCACCAGCAGCCCCCCCTACTGCCACTGCCCCCGGTTCCCCCCCCCGTTCGGGTCCCCGCGTCTCACCAGGTTGCTACGTCCCCCCAGGTGTCTGTGTCGTGTCAGGTTCCTACGTCTGTTCCAGTCGCTGCGTCGTGCTCCTGCCGGTCGCTTGCCCACCCCACCGTTCTGTGGCACCACCGGATGGGGCACCCGTCCCTTCCACGTCTGCGCGCTATGTCTAGTCAGCGTCTTGTCCTAGGCCTCCCACGTGTCTTGCCGTCGCTGCCGCCTTCGCCTGCGCCGCCGTGTCGTCCCTGCGTCGAGGGTAGGCTGCGTGCCACCCCTCACTCCTCCTCCCTTCGTCCGGCCACCGAGCCTTTTGAGACGCTTCACTTGGACGTCTGGGGCCCAGCCCCTCGTCTAGGCCCTGAGCGTGAGCGTTACTTTCTGGTGGTCGTTGACGACTTCTCCCGCTACACCACAGTGTTCCCTCTGGCGAAGAAGTCTGAGGTGACTTCTACGCTGATCAGGTGGTTGCTCACCACCGAGGACACTCGTGGTCGTCGTGTCAGCTGTCTCCACTCCGACCGTGGGGGTGAGTTTCGCTCCGGCATTCTCGCTGGATTCTGTCGCGAGCAGGGCATTCGTCAGTCCTGGACGCTTCCAGAGTCCCCACAGCAGAATGGGGTTGCTGAGCGCCGCATAGGCCTGGTCATGGAGATCGCCCGCACCTCCCTGACTCACGCCTGTGCCCCCCATTTTCTGTGGCCCTACGCGGTCAGGTACGCCGCGCACCAGCTGAACCTCTGGCCACGTGTCTCTCGACCAGAGGTTTCACCGACCAGTCTTTGGACAGGGTCCCCTGGTGTTGCGTCGCGGTTTCATGTCTGGGGGTGCTTGGCTCTTGTCCGCGACACCTCCGCGGACAAGCTCTCGCCTCGTGCCGTCCCCTGTGTCTTCCTTGGTTTCCCTGAGGACTCCTCTGACTTCACCTTTTACCACCCTCCCTCTCACCGGTTCTTTGACTCCCGTGACGTTCGTTTCGAGGAGTCCACTCCGTACTACGTCAGGTACCCCAGTCGAGGTCTCCCGGTTCCTCCCCCCCCTCTCTTCCTGACTGCCGTTCCCCCTCCTGCTCCCCCGGTACAGCCTCCCCCCCCAGGTCCAGCCCCGTCAGGTGTGTCCCAGGCTACCCCTCCTCCTTCGGTAGCCCCTCCGGTACAGCCTCCCTCCCCACAGTCCTCCTCGCAGCGTGCCGCTGGTGCTAGCTCTCGAGAGGTTGGTACGGCGCCTGTTCCTGTACCGGTTTCTGGTTCTGGGGGTGCTGGAGTTGGAGCTGGAGTTGGAGCTGGAGTTGGCACTGGAGTTTCTGGTTCTGGGGGTGCTGGAGTTGGAGCTGGGGTTGGAGCTGGAGTTTCTGGTTCTGGAGTTGGAGCTGACCCGGTGGGTGCAGAGGACTCTTGTCGTCCGGGA